TGCTGTGCAAGTTGCTCTCTGCAAGTTGCTCTGTGCAAGCTGCTGCGCAAGTTGCTCTGTGCAAGTTGCTCTGCGTAAGTTGCTCTGCGCGAGCTGCTCTGGGCAAGGTGCTCTGCGCAAACTGGTCTGTGCAAGTTGCTCTGCGCAAGTTGCTCTGGCAAACTGGTCTGTGCAACTTGCTCTGCGCAAGTTGCTCTGCGCAAGTTGCTCTATGCAAGTTGCTCCGCGCAGCTTGCGAAGCCCGCCCGCGCACCAGGGGGAAATCGAACGCGCGACCTGCCGGTTGCGGGAGCCGGCGCGCGAACCACGAGACAACTCCCGAGGACCAGTTCGAACAACAAAAGTCAAAAAAAAGCTCGAGTTTTTGCACCTCGACCACGCCGGTCCCCGCAGAGCGTCGCGCGAGCCAAAACAAAATTGCAAAAAACCTCGAGCTTTTGCACCTCGACCACGCCGATCCCCGCAAAGGGTCGCGCGAGCCACAAAACAAAATCGCAAAAAACCTCGAGCTTTTGCACCTCAACCACGCCGATCCCCGCAAAGGGTCGCGCAAGCCAAAACAAAATCGCAAAAAACCTCGAGTTTTTGCACCTCGACCACGCCGATCACGCCGATCCCCGAGAGGGTCGCGCGGGCCCAAACAAAATCGCAAAAAACCTCGAGCTTTTGTACCTCGACCACGCCAATCCTCGCAGAGGGTCGCGCGGGCCAAACCAAAATCGCAAAAAACCTCGAGTTTTTGCACCTCGACCACGCCAATCCCCGCAGAGGGTCGATTTTCGTAGAGCGTCGTCGGCACTACCCCGCCGCCCTAAGAAGAGATTTAACTCCTCGCAAGTCAATTGCACTTGACTCCTTGCACTTGCAACTTGCACTTGATTCCTTGCACTTGCAAGTTGCACTTGACTCCATGCCCCTTGCACTTGACTCCTTGCACTTGCAACTTGTAATTAACTCCGTGCACTTGCAACTTGCACTTGACTCCATGCACTTGGCTCCTTGCAACCTGCAATGACTCTCATGACTCCTTGCAATGACTCCTTGCAATGACTCCTTGCAATGACTCCTTGCAATGACTCCTTGCAATGACTCCTTGCAATGACTCCTTGCAACGCCTCCTTGCAATGACTCCTTGCAATGACTTTCATGAAATGACTCCTTGCAATGACTCCTTGCAATGACTTTCATGATGATGATTCTTTGCAATGACGCCTTGCAATGACTCTCATGAGAACAACTCAAGCGAACCCAGGGGAAGAACCCTTCGCCATGCTTTCGCGGGGGGGAAAAACAAAAACTAAAAAGCAGCTTTTTGCAGCTCCATTCAGCCCCTCTTGTCATCCGAAGAAGCACCAAACAATAGGCGCCACATATCGGCCTAAAAGGTACTATACGTGCAAACGAGACGGTGCATGAGCGAACACCCAACGGCATTTCTTGGCGGCTTGGCGCCTTACTGACAGCGTGAACATTGAAAACAACTTCATGCAGATGTCCAACTCCCCGATAGAATGCCGATGGAATTTCGCCAACCTGGATCGAGGTCCCACGCTGGAATGAGTTTCGAGAAAGGCAAGTTCTTTCGCGCAATCGATGAAATTATGGCTATCCGTTGCTTGGCGGGTGCATCGGTTCATTAGCCATCTCTAGCCCTGTAGCGAGCTACACGGAGGCCTAAGCCTAGAAACATCCGGGTCACTCAGCTCCAATGTCAAGACACGCCTACGCGATGCCAACGCATGTGTTTGTTTTTAATTGCCCACGCGAACTGCACGCAGCCCTGTCCCCAGATTTGCCTACGCGAGGCCTGTGCACAAAGAGCGCACCCCCCGAATACTAAAGGAATACATGGCCGAAACAAGCTCCGCTCTTTTGGGATTCCATGGTAAATGCTTCATCCGCGAAACCATGGTAAATTGAATTTGCGGGATATTATCGGAATCCCCTGTTCCTGTACTTGCAAGATTCAGGTTTGCGAATCGCTCTCATTCGCAAACTTGTCCCCCGACTTGAGTGGATGGCCAAAAGAAGTCTGAATGCTTTTTTCGCCGCTAAGATAGTCTTCCAAAAAGCCAAAGGTCGAGGAACTTAGGCCGTGAGTCATCGCCTCCACTCCACTCCGCACCTGGGCTGTCGAAGGAAAGCACATCAGCTGCCTTGGCAGCAGCCGGCGCCTCACGGTGCCGATCTCAACGCGAGTCAGTCTGAAAACCGTTGGGTACCTTTTTGACGGCGCCTTTTGGAGGCTTTTCTGGACATGGCCATGGGTCAAACATCCCAATCCTCACTAAAATAGACTAGCATGGGTGGTGAATTCACCTACCCCAAAATGGTACCATTGGTTTTGACCCACAGCCACACGGGTCAGTTTCGAGACAAACCCATTGAAACTGCAGACACACGCTTAGCCACAATCTGTGAACAGGTTGCAGAAAGGATGCTGAGGAAAATACCTCTTGATCTGCGGGTCTAAAACTGTGGGCCATGAAGTGGTTGCAAGGCAAACAAAAAAAAAAAGGGAAGCCTCACCATTGACCACGGGTTGTACTTAGTTCACTTGCAAGCAAATCAGGGGATCTGCCGCATCAGAAAAGTCACCCAAACGTTCCAAGGACTCGGTTGAGCTGGGTTGGTGGTGCACCAAAAACCCTGCATTGTGTTGCTTAAAGCTTTGTGAAGGGTTGTGCACTTCCACGGCAAGCCAACCAGCGCGGCAGTGTCCCATTTAAGAGGAAACCTGCATCAAAACCTGATAAAGATGTCTACCCATTTGGGATATTTTTGGGACCCAAGCGGGCGACATGGGGCCATCTGGACGTGAGCCGTCTGCCTTGGCAGTTCCATTGGCGCTCGGGGCTGCCTGGGACAAGATGCGCGCTTGAAGGCGTGGGGTTCCTTAGACTTAGGAAACCTCTTCGTTTTGATCCTCAGGGTTCCTTATATCTTCCTTTTTGGGTGGTCACCAAGGGAAACGCAATAATGGCGTAAAGGCCATGAAGAACAACAGGGGAATATCACCCTCGCCAGCCAAACGCTGATTGAACCACCCAGAAATGAACCTGAATGGGTCTGTTTCTGCGTGAGAGTAGCTCCAGCTCTTAAGCACCGGTTGGTTCGGTGCGTGCCCCATGCCTGCTAGCCGTGATTCTAGCTCTCCAGCTTGGGTGGTGGGCATAGGAATCGGTTCACTTCGTTTCAAAATGGGAAGAGAAGAAGCACGTCGAAAAATTGGGCAAGCGGCTTGCCCGCGTATCACATGGGATTCTATGATCATGATTCTGCTTTAGTGCACTCGATCGGAACCCGTTGATAGAACCCGTTCATTCGTCCCTTGACCTACGCCGTGCTGGTCAATTTATTGGGGATGCGCTGGAACCTATCTCACAAAGGGGATCCACTTTCGAGAACCACCTCTCTGTACAAATCATCCTTCGGAGCTTGAAGTGGTAAATGCTGGCGCACGCAGTGAACCGATTCGCGCCAGGAGCGAATTATATGAACAGGAAAGCAAATCGACAGAAAAGAGAACCTCTCAGAACCGCCTGTGGAGTGCAGCGGGTCGCACTCAAAGCCAAGTATCTCCCGTGGCAACATGTGGGAAGGCTGCGCGGGAGGCTACCCAGGTAATCCGCACGCGCCGCGTGCACTCGTGAGTCAAGAAGTATCTTGCCATTGGAATGTGCAAGCCATGCGCAGGGACCCTGTCTCTCCTCTCCCTGCCTGCGCATCCCAGCTAACTCGCACCACCTCTGGAGGCTCCAGCTGACCCGCAGTGGCTGTGATTTTATGGACCCTTTGGTGGGCATCACGTCGATAGGGTTGTATATCTCCTTCGGCCACTTTTCCGGGGATTGCCCAACAAAATTCATAGCATGGCCCCGAGCGCAACGCTTTTTCTTGGAACCCAACAAAAAAATCCAACAGGCCCCTTTGGGTCCAAAGCAGGAAAGGACGTGACCTCTGGTCCCTCCCTTTTTCCCAAGCAATCTGGCCAACCCCGGAGTTCCAGCCCACAAAAAAAGGAAAAACGGCTCCGAAAGTAAAGTGGTCCTCCCCACAAGTGCCCTGGCAACATGGATGGCGTTCGTTCCTAGGCAGCTTTATACAAATCAATGTTCACTCCGGGTGCAAAGTGTCTTAGCCTAATGACGAACAACCCGATCTAACCTGGGCTTTAGTAATCCAGGGCTTGCATTGACTATGGGCCAATCCAAAAAAACGGCCCAAAAACCATAGGAACGAAACCACATCCTTGTAAAGGAGGTGGCTTTTGACGACATCCTGAGGGATTTGCTTCCTACACGTCCTTTGATGCCCACAAATGCCAATCATCTGAGAAAGACTCACTACTGAGCCCAGCAAGGAATTTGGCACGTGTTAGGTTGTGATTGAGTGTCACTGAGTGTTACTGAGCGCTTGCCGGACCGAGTGCTTGTAAAGTCTAGCACTCCCGAATGTGCAGCTTTGGGCCCCAACTTCTGCTGTGGCGTTGGGTTGTGATTGAGCGTTGCGGAGTGGAGTGATACCGAGTGTTACTAAGTGCTTACTGAGTCTGGGACCCAACATGTGCTGATTTTGGTCATGGCTGAGTGGTACTGAGCGTTACTGAGTGCTTACTGAATCTGCGACCCAACAAAGTGTGTTTTAGGCTGAGTTATGCTGAGTGTTTTTGAGTGCTTTCCGACTCTATCACCCCAAAATGCCCCGTATTTGGTTGTGAGTGTTCCAGACTGTTTCTGACAGTTACTGAGTGATACTGAGTGTGACTGGGTGCTTACTGAGTCTGAAACCCAACATGTGCTGATTTGGTGGTGATTGAGTGGTACTGAGTGCTACCGAGTGCTTACTGAATCTGGGACCCCAAAATGTGATTGAGTCAACTGAGTGTGTCTGTCACCCCACAATGCCCTGTATTAGGTTGTGATTGAGTGCTACTGCGTGTTACTGTATCCCTACTGAGTGTGGGACCCCACATGTGCGGCTTTCGGTGGTGAGTGAGTGGTACTGAGAGTTACCGAGCACGCACTGAGTCTGGGACCCCAACATGTGCTGTTTAGGTTGTCATTGAGCGTCGCGAGTGCGAGCGCCGCTGATGTTGAATCCAACGGTGTTCAGTGCGCGCACAAAATGCCCGCGCAGCAGATCAGAATAGAAACATAGGGATCGTAGGGTTCCAACTACTCAGCAACACTCAGCAGCACGCAGGATCAATTCTGTGTACCAAGCATGTCCTACTGAGAGTTGCTGAGCCTTGCTCGAAACAGAAACCAAGTTTGAGCTGTAGCAAGCATTCCCAAGCCCTGCCGAGCCCGAGCCAAAAACAACAGCGCTTCCTATTTGGCGCCGCACCATGGAACCTCAAGGATAACAATTATTGCAAAAGGCCTTCCAGTGGCACAGTGGACGAACTTGAGCAGCAGCCCCTTTTTGGGACCCTGTCACGAGGGGTCTCCACAAGGTTGACCACGTGTCAACCCTCCCATGCGTGGGAAATCGGGCTTTGGGGAATGCCTTTGCTGTAATACCCTCCACTGAAGTGGGAACCAACCACTTTGGTATAACAGAAAGGTCTTTTTCTCCCACCAGGATGCGAGTGCACCTGGGCTGCACCCCCGGGAGACTCGCTTGAAGTGACCCTCTGTCAGGCTTCTTTCTTTTGCGGGAGCCGGCCAGCATAGACCCCAGATAGCAGTGCTTGCACACAAGCACCTCCAACAGCACCCCCCCGAACGCCCCAAGCAAAACCACTTGAAGTGACCCTCTGTCAGGCTTCTTTCTTTTGCGGGAGCCGGCCAGCATAGACCCCAGATAGAAGCAAAACCCCTGAAGTGACCTCTGTCAGGCTTCTCTCTTTTTGCGGGAGCCGGCCAGCATAGACCCCAGATAGCAGTGCTTGCACACAAGCACCTCCAACAGCACCCCCCCGAACGCCCCAAGCAAAACCCCCTGAAGTGACCTCTGTCAGGCTTCTCTCTTTTTGCGGGAGCCGGCCAGCATAGACCCCAGATAGCAGTGCTTGCACACAAGCACCTCCAACAGCACCCCCCCGAACGCCCCAAGCAAAACCCCCTGAAGTGACCTCTGTCAGGCTTCTCTCTTTTTGCGGGAGCCGGCCAGCATAGACCCCAGATAGCAGTGCTTGCACACAAGCACCTCCAACAGCACCCCCCCGAACGCCCCAAGCAAAACCCCCTGAAGTGACCTCTGTCAGGCTTTTCTCTTTTTGCGGGGAGCCGATGTTTTCCTTCTCCACCAACAAGAAAAAGAAGAAACAAAAAAAAACGATGCCCCATCCCAAGCCTCGCCTTGGCGACCACCTTGCCGTCGAAGTAGGGCACCGCCGCGCTCTCGTTGGTCACGTCCATCCAGGCCACTTGCAGCGGCTCCGGGCCCCAGCGCATCTTGAAGCGGAAGTGGTACCTGACAGAAGTGTTTGATAGGCCAAGTATGTTCAAAATCCAAAAAACAAGTATGGATGGGGGCTCTTACAATCTATAATCTATGTCCCCCAGAAACTTCACTCCAGAAGAAAACTCAGGATAGACAGGCCCAAAGCTTAGTCCATTGAAGTGACAGGAAAGCCATCCGCACAGTGGTTTGGGGACCCGTTCGAAATGTTCTCTTGGGACCCAAAAGAAGCTTGACCCTTAACGGATGCGAAGTTCTTCAAAAAGTTGACTCTGTCATCCTGCCAATGTTGACATGACGCTGACTAAAAGCCCCTCGTCCCTGGAAGAAGTCAATCCCCACCAATCAGGGTGGGTAGTGAGCCGTGCCCAAACAGTTTGACACCAATGGATGCACATGTTCCTGGAAGATGGGAAAGGCTGGAAGTCTAAGAAACATTGCACGTTAGTACCCAGAAGCAAGCTTGGAGTAAAAGTTTACCTCAAGACCTACGGGGAAAATAGCGTGGTTTACCTCTAGATATAGTGGCTCGATTGTGGTATGCTATGTTCGGTTTGGATTTGCATTGATTGTGCTTATTCTTAATTTTGCAGCAAGCAAAGGCGTTATCTGTACAGGTCGGACGAGAGCGTGAATTAATTTGCTCCCCGCTCCCTCCCTTCATCCAGCCAGTTCTATCTTCTTGGCTCCCTGTCCTTTGCCAATATCAATTCGCATTCTAAAGCTCCCGCATATTTGGGAATTGATCATGCGAAAGAGATGCTGCTATTCCTCTGTCCCTCATCTACATGTCTTCATCCATGAAAGAGGAATAAAAAAGGAATGAAATTAGCTTGAGAAGTGAGCGAAAAAAATAGAGTCAACAAAGAATCAAGACTTAGAATTCTGAGTTTCTGCGTCGTTGCATGCGTCTCCCTCGCCATTGGCTCCCGCTCGCTTCCCTTCACTCGTTGGAAGCGTTCGTAAGCTGACACAAGACCCTGACAACTTGGATGACGTCCAGCCTTTGGCAGCCTAGCGTTTAGCGTTGGTCATGATGTGTATCCCATAAGCTCAGCAAAAAAAAAGGAAAAGAGATAGACAAGACTCATAAAACTGAAACAAAGACAAATAATTTACCGGCAAGTGTATAGATTGTCAGATTATGATGCTTATTTTAAGTATATGATGTCGTTCACTACCTTCACAAAAGTTCCTAATATGTTCTTAACTGTCAGAAGTGCTATGCACCATTATCAACTTCTTGTGTGAATTTAATCACCTTCAAGCGCTGGAGAAAAAAAGCATGTTCATGTCTTACGTCTCTTGACTTTGGACAACAACTCCAAAGCTGAGACAAAAAACAAGTACTAAAGACTATCCCATTTTTGAAATGTTGCTTTCTAGAGTACAGCTTTCATGCTTATAACATTGCCTATCTTGTCTGGTACGTGTCTTTTAACGATGTGTGATCTTCATCCTAATACACTTTGTTTGGTCCAATATTTGAAGGGGACCCTAGAGTCTATCAACAGGCACCATGCTGTTTGGACACAAGTTTACATATTACTAATTCCTGCGTTGGAATCATGTCCATCATAACTTCTGGAACTCCACAATGGGTAATATGACTTCGCTTCTTGGAAGTCTGTTTAGGGACATCATATGTACACTGTAGGTCTACAAAAGTCCTTCCATGGGGAGTATAAAGTCCAAAATGAGGGCCTGCATTCCGGTAGGAAAACCTACAATGAAATCAATCAGTTGGGTCCCCGAGTTGGAGACAAGCCCACATAGTCCACCAAGCGCAAACGGGCCGTAAAACCTGCGCACGTCCCAGGCAGGGGGAATTTGCTGCGCACATCCTGCGGTCGCCGAACACGAGAGGCCATCCGAACAAACCCTGCTTGGAGAGTAAGCTCCGGGCATGGCAAGTGGGCGTTGTTTTGTTGCAGGGGAAACCCCACATTTTGATTTGTGTGTGTGTGTTGCGAGCGTATGTGCGTGCGTGTGTGCGTTTTCGTGCCTGTGTGAGTGGGCGTGTGCGTCTGCGCTTGCGTGTGCATCTGCGTCTGCGTCTATGTGTGCGCGTGCGTGCGTGGGAACCAACCAATCCTGATGAGGCAAACCCGAGTAGGATTGTAATTCCCATAACTATGCTTGTCATTCGGGGGGCTGGGTTGCAACCATGCCTTGTAGCCCCAAGAACTCATGGCCTAATAGCCAACCAAAGGTGCCTCAAATGGCAATGGGCAATGGGTTGGAACAAACATGCATATCCCTAGACGTTTTTTGAGGAACCCTGCAAAGGAGCCAGCAACCGGAGAAGTCTGATTTGCCAGCATGTGAGTCACAACACTTCTGGATGCTCAAACCTTTGATCATTGGTTAGGAATGGCCCCCTCGAATTGGATGTGGGGTGGGTTACGGCAGGTCTTGGTCTTTCCATCTAAGGGGCCATCGTTTTTCTAAGCCGCGACCGAGTTTTCAGGGCCAAAGGAGTCAAGGGAAGAAGGAAAAGAAGCAAAACGGGGGGGGGGGGGACAAGGAAGACTCGGGGAATCTGAAGGAAAACCAGCAAAGAAGACATGGAGAAAACCGGGAAGAACCCCAAAAAAAACGATGGAAACTAATCACACAAAAAACTGGGATTACCGGGAAGAACCAAGAAAAACACGATGGAAACTAATCAAAAAAAGAAAACTGGGATTAGCGAGAAGAACCAAAAAGAACGATGGAACTAATCACAAACAACAAAAAATGGGATTACCGGGAAGAACCCCAAAAAAAAAACGGTGGAAACAAATCAGACAACAAAAACTGGGATTACCGGGAAGAACCAAACAAAAATGATGGAAACTAATCAAAAAAAAAACTGGGATTACCAGGAAGAACCAAAAAAAATGGAAACTAATCACCAAACAAAAACTGGGATCACCGGGAAGAACCATTTAAAAAAAAAAAAATGGAAACCAAACACAAAAAAAAAATGGGATTACCGGGAAGAACTAAAAAAACAATGGAAACATGAAAAACAACTGGGAAAACCTGGAAAAATATAATTAGAAAAGAAGAAAGGCCGTCTCCTTCAACATGATCTTGCCCTCCGGCAAAAGCACCGGGAAGGCATTGGGCATCTCCGCCTAGCCGATGAAAAGGATTCCATAGAAAAGGGAATGTCACGGGAAGGGACGAAGGGAAGACGACTCGATTTACAGCCTCCATATTGCTAGGGGAGGGCAGGACCCAGACAAGAAGACCTCCAATTCACAACTTCCATCTTGGTTTTTAGACGGCTGGCAAAGATCAGGTGCTCAGATCCATCCAGCCTCGTCGCCATCACCGGGGATGTGGTAAAAGACCAGGACGGGTCTGGCCTCGTTGCTGAAATCGCGGGCGAGCAAGAATTAAACCAACCACGTGGAGGAAAATCGAAACAAAAGTACAGGTTGGATAGGCCCTGTTTGCTTGATGTTTGAAGGAGCCCCAAAACAAAACACCCGTTTTGGAGTCCCTATTCTTGGAAACGCCGACATGGAACCCAAAAGACATACTGCCCCTGCAACACCGCCTTCTGCATATGTCTGAAAAATTGGGAGAAAAACAAAAAGGTGAAAGGGCCGCCCCCAAAAAAAAACTCTGCACGCAGCCCAAAAAAATGAAGAAATGGTTCCTCCCTTTCAGCCTGGCGAAGATGCAAGCGCGCCTGGGCCCCGGAAGAGCTCATCCGTTGTGGAAAACACCTGGCACGTTCCAAGTGAAGGGACCCCACTGGGACGAAGCCATGTGTTTGCACTACTGTCCTTTTCTCGCATCATGGTCCCTATGGCTGGCCTCTTTATTTCACCACCAAAGTCAGTTGGTGCTTGGGTTAAATGGAAAAACACCCCCATTTTGTGACTTTGATAACCACCAGAAACCGTCAAAACAATGACCCCGGTATGGTACTTGCAAGCTACGAATCTTGGCTCCATCACAAGAGCCGAGCCTCGAGGGCTCGAGGGCCGCTGCGAAGCGCAAGCGACGCAACTCGGGGAGCGGATCGCTTTGTTTTCACTCGATTTGTTTTGCGTCTGACGAGAAGAAAGGAGTTCTTTGACGTTTGTCCTTTTGCCTTTGCAATCCTACGAACCACCCGCCTCTGTCGGCCCCTACACAACAGAAAAATGTCTGTCCCATCGGAATAAGCTTGTTTTCGGAGGGAAGCAATGCGTGAGGCAAGGACTGTTGGAATTCTGATGTCTCAAAGAATTGTTCAAACGCATCCAAGCCTCACCGAAAATCACAAGCAAGCATTAAAAGAAAAAACATAGTATGTTGTGTGCTGCCTTATCTTGCATTGTCACTATTCCTGAGCCAATGCTTGCACTGTTCTCCACGCATGGCTCGCGTGCTCACGTCAAACTATCCGGTTGGTCTGGTTGGTGTCCGAGTAGGCACCTTTTCGCGCAAACCCAACATGCTTTACACGAGCATCTGGTTGGGGTTGCATGGCACCAATACAGGAGCAACACAATTTTTGCAGCCTGTAATTCCGAAGGAGCGGAAAGGGCTTCGGTCAATACATCTTTCTGGGGGCATCTAACCCACCGTTGCCCCAAGCAACGCGTGAGGGGATGGATCCGACCCGGCAACGCTCGGTGCACAAAGTACGAATCGCGTCACCAAACACAGTTGGGTGCCTGTAAGTCAAGTGCCAAAATAGGGATGTCCCAAGGAAAAAACAACTGCCCTGAGGAAGGAAAAAAGCTTTGGACACTTGAGGAACAGACACCACGCCAATCCTTGTAACTTCTTAACAAATCTCTGTCTAAGATAACTTTGCCTCCACTTTTGAACTTTGTGGTGTCCTCAACGTGCATCTTCTCGCTCTTGATCTCGCGCTTCACCCAGCTGAAAAATTGCTGCAGATCTTCCGGCCCAGGATTAAGGTTCCCACGGATGCCAAAATGGCCGCCATGCAAAAACAAAAACAAAATGTGTTTCCAAGTTGGGTTCCTCTACTATCTTGGGCAACCAACAGTAAGCGCCATCCAAAACTCATTTGCAGCATGTTTCTTCGATTTCTGGTGCACGCGTAAATCCCGAGCCTTAAGCTTATTGCTCGCACTGCCGTAAAAAAACATTTGGGTATGGGATCTATGGCTTATGAACAGATGTGTTTCATCTTTTGCATGCAAAGAAAAAGAAAAAAAGAGAACAAAAAAACGTACCACAGCCCCAGCTGCGGAAAAGTTACCAAAAAGGCGTGCAAAAAACACAAGGACACCACATTGCACCTTACAGCATGCAAAGAAAAAGAAAAAAAGAGAAAAAAACGTACCACAGCCCCAGCTGCGGTAAAGTTACCAAAAAGGCGTGCAAAAAACACAGGGACCCCACATTGCACCTTACAGCATGCAAAGAAAAAGAAAAAAAGAGAAGAAAAAAACGTACCACAGCCCCAGATGCGGTAAAGTTACCAAAAAGGCGTGCAAAAAACACAAGGACACCACATTGCACCTTACAGCATGCAAAGAAAAAGAAAAAAAGAGAAGAAAAAAACGTACCACAGCCCCAGCTGCGGTAAAGTTACCAAAAAGGCGTGCAAAAAACACAAGGACACCACATTGCACCTTACAGCATGCAAAGAAAAAGAGAAGAACAAAAACGTACCACAGCCCCAGATGCGTCAAAGTTACCAAAAAGGCGTGCAAAAAACACAAGGACACCACATTGCACCTTACAGCATGCAAAGAAAAAGACAAAAAGAGAAGAAAGAAACGTACCACAGCCCCAGCTGCGGTAAAGTTACCAAAAAGGCGTGCAAAACACACAAGGACACCACATTGCACCTTACAGCATGCAAAGAAAAAGAAAAAAGATGAAAAAAACGTACCACAGCCCCAGCTGCGGTAAAGTTACCAAAAAGGCGTGCAAAAAACACAAGGACACCATTGCACCTTACAGCATGCAAAGAAAAAGAAAAAAGAGAAGAAAGAAACGTACCACAGCCCCAGATGCGGTAAAGTTACCAAAAAGGCGTGCAAAAAACCACAAGGACACCACATTGCACCTTACAGCATGCAAAGAAAAAGAAAAAAGAAGAAAAAAACGTACCACAGCCCCAGCTGCGGTAAAGTTACCAAAAAGGCGGGCAAAAAACACAAGGACACCACATTGTACCTTACAGCATGCAAACAAAAAATCAAAAAAGAGAAGAAAGAAACGTACCACAGCCCCAGCTGCGGTAAAGTTACCAAAAAGGCGTGTAAAAAAACACAAGGACACCACATTGCACCTTACAGCATGCAAAGAAAAAGAAAAAAGAAGAAAAAAAACGTACCACAGCCCCAGATGCGGTAAAGTTACCAAAAAGGCGTGCAAAAAACACAAGGACACCACATTGTACCTTACAGCATGCAAAGAAAAAGAAAAAAAGAAGAAAAAAACGTACCACAGCCCCAGCTGCGGTAAAGTTTCCAAAAAGGCGTGCAAAAAACACAAGGACACCACATTGCACCTTACAGCATGCAAAGAAAAAGAAAAAAGAAGAAAAAAACGTACCACAGCCCCAGCTGCGGAAAAGTTACCAAAAAGGCGTGCAAAAAACCACAGGGACACCACATTGCACCTTACAGCATGCAAAGAAAAAGAAAAAGAGAAGAAAAAAACGTACCACAGCCCCAGCTGCGGTAAAGTTACCAAAAAGGCGGGCACATTGTACCTAACAGCATGCAAAGAAAAAGAAAAAAAGAGAAGAAAGAAACGTACCACAGCCCCAGCTGCGGTAAAGTTACCAAAAAGGCGTGCAAAAAACACAAGGACACCACATTGCACCTTACAGCATGCAAAGAAAAAGAAAAAAGAAGAAAAAAACGTACCACAGCCCCAGCTGCGGAAAAGTTACCAAAAAGGCGTGCAAAAAACCACAGGGACACCACATTGCACCTTACAGCATGCAAAGAAAAAGAAAAAGAGAAGAAAAAACGTACCACAGCCCCAGCTGCGGTAAAGTTACCAAAAAAGGCGTGCACAAAACACAAGGACACCACATTGCACCTTACAGCATGCAAAGAAAAAGAAAAAAAGAAGAAAAAAACGTACCACAGCCCTAGCTGCGGTAAAGTTTCCAAAAAGGCGTGCAAAAAACACAAGGACACCACATTGCACCTTACAGCATGCAAAGAAAAAGAAAAAAGAGAAGAAAGAAACGTACCACAGCCCCAGATGCGGTAAAGTTACCAAAAAGGCGTGCAAAAAACACAAGGACACCACATTGTACCTTACAGCATGCAAAGAAAAAGAAAAAAGAAGAAAAAGACGTACCACAGCCCCAGCTGCGGAAAAGTTACCAAAAAGGCGTGTAAAAAACACAAGGACACCACATTGCACCTTACAGCATGCAAAGAAAAAGAAAAAAAGAGAAGAAAAAACGTACCACAGCCCCAGCTGCGGTAAAGTTACCAAAAAGGCGTGCAAAAAACACAAGGACACCACATTGCACCTTACAGCATGCAAAGAAAAAGAAAAAAAGAGAAGAAAAAAACGTACCACAGCCCCAGCTGCGGTAAAGTTACCAAAAAGGCGTGCAAAAAACACAAGGACACCACATTGCACCTTACAGCATGCAAAGAAAAAGAAAAAAAGAGAAGAAAAAACGTACCACAGCCCCAGCTGCGGTAAAGTTGCCAAAAAGGCGTGCAAAAAACACAAGGACACCACATTGCACCTTACAGCATGCAAAGACAAAGAAAAAAAGAGAAGAAAAAAACGTACCACAGCCCCAGCTGCGGTAAAGTTACCAAAAAGGCGTGCAAAAAACACAAGGACACCACATTGCACCTTACAGCATGCAAAGAAAAAGAAAAAAAGAGAAGAAAAAAACGTACCACAGCCCCAGCTGCGGTAAAGTTACCAAAAAGAGGTGCAAAAAACACAAGGACACCACATTGCACCTTACAGCATGCAAAGAAAAAGAAAAAAAGAGAAGCAAAAAACGTACCACAGCCCCAGCTGCGGTAAAGTTGCCAAAAAGGCGTGCAAAAAACACAAGGACACCACATTGCACCTTACAGCATGCAAAGACAAAGAAAAAAAGAGAAGAAAAAAACGTACCACAGCCCCAGCTGCGGTAAAGTTACCAAAAAGGCGTGCAAAAAACACAAGGACACCACATTGCACCTTACAGCATGCAAAGAAAAAGAAAAAAGAAGAAAAAAACGTACCACAGCCCCAGCTGCGGTAAAGTTACCAAAAAGGCGTGCAAAAAGCACAAGGACACCACATTGCACCTTACAGCATGCAAAGAAAATGAAAAAAAGAGAAGAAAAAAGCGTACCACAGCCCCAGCTGCGGTAAAGTTACCAAAAAGGCGTGCAAAAAACACAAGGACACCACACCAGAAAAAGCCCGGGGGCAGCACCCAAAACAAGGAAGAAGTCGGCTACAAGAAGAGGAAGCTAAGACCAGAAAGGTTTTTTGCATGTGAAACAACACAAATCTTCGAATCTTTAGAGTCTGCGATAAAAGTTTTAGAGCAAGTGCATCACAGTTATCCCAGAATAAAATCATGTGACAGAACGTGGTGGAGAATGATCTGCCCGCACCAGCCAGGTTACTGTCTTATCACTAAGACTAAAGCCGGAAGCGAACCCCGCAGTAGGAGGAAAAGAAAAAATCGTATTGCGATGAAAGGAGCGGAGCGCTACGCCAGTGAAGTAAAAGACAATTCTCAGCAAACTGTGTTGAATGAAGCTAGAAAGTAATCCTAGAAGTCCGCGCGCCAAGAAAAACCTATAAGCCTCGAGAGCCTACGAAACCGATATGAGCGCCAGTTGTTAACAATGAGCACATCAGTGGGTTTGGAGGACAATTGGATGATGTAACGCATTGTCCACCCAAATTTGCGACGCGTTGGACAAAAGCTTTTGCACTACGCATGCGCGAAGTGGCTCATTCTTGAGCATGGAAGCCAGACTTTATTTTCCACGGCAAGTCATTTTTTTGCGCAGGGGAACAACAGAAAAACATCGTATTCTTCAGCGTGCGTACTTACCAACAAGCCTTATGCGTTGCAAGTCCGCCTAGAAGGTGCGGAATCATCTTGCCATTCGCAGCCTTTTGTGGGCAAACAGGTCACTTAGGGATCGCTCAAACGGTTCACTTAGGGATCACGGTCACTTAGGGATACACGCTCACTTGAGGATCACATTCACGGATCACTTAGGGATCACATTCATTGATGACGGGGGTGGGGAGGGGGGGGGGTTGGTGTGATAAGCACACCCGCTCAACTGCTGCAGACCAGCCTGCTCCTTTACCAGATTACAAAATAACGGGGGGGGGGGGGTGGGTGGGGGGCATGATAAGCACACCCGCTCAGCTGCTGCAGACCAGCCTGCTCTTTTACCGGATTACAAAATAACATGGTTCAGGGGTGCCACACCCGCTCAACTCTTTTACTGGATTACAAAATAACATGGTTCTGGGGGGGGGGGGCATGGTAAGCACACCCGCTCAACTGCCGCAGACCAGCCTGCTTTTGTTCCGGATTACAAAATATCATGGTTCTGGGGGGGGGCATGATAAGCACACGCTGAACTGCTTCATCCCAGCAAATTCATCTCTTTCTGGGGGTGTGGGGTGGGGTGGGGGGGGGATGATAAGCACACCCGCTCAACTGAACCAGCCCAACGCCGCAGGGCATACATGTCAACACGCATGCACACAACCACATAATACATGGACTCGCCAGCACACATAGTAGCATATGTCATGAGACATGCCCGCCACATATGTCATGAGACATACACGCCAACAAGCACAGACAAGCGCATACATGCAAACACATGCGCGCATATTAATACAAACATACATCGCGAGGCATACATGTCAACACGCATGCATGCACGACAAGCCTTCTGCAAAAAGCGATCCCGGAGCGATCCATTTGCGCGACCCCTAAGCGAACCATTCGCGCGACGCCTAAGTGACCCACTGCCCCTTTTGTGCCTTTGTTGGTTCTTTTTAAGCGGCCATTTGCGATTGTGCAGGTCCGCTGTTTAATTTTACAATCTAAAAAACAAAAGTAAAGAGTCAACACCAAACAGAAAATGGAGAAACATGATTTTATGGCCGCCTGTTTTTTGTTGCTCACGTGTTGCTGGGGCAAAAATGAAGATTTTTGCTCCATGCGGCCATTTAGGTCCGATGCTTCAGCGCAGAAAACCAAATGCAAAACACGTGCAAAGAAAACCCACCAAACAGGCAAAGCAACACAACACAAAACCGACAAACAACCAAAACAAACAGCACAACAATACATTTTGTTATCCATGCGGCCGATGCGATCACGCAGGTCCGCTGTTACAGCGCAGAAACAACTCGTAAACGACATGCTGGGAATATCAAAGAAGAGAACGCAGGCACCACAAAGCAACAGACCACGAAACAGAAACAAACGAAGCAAACAAAAACACAGCACACAATCTATCCTCAGCACCAAAGCTTTGACTTGCTCAGCCAAAAAACAAACAGCACAACAACACAGAACCAACAACCCGGAGAAATGAAGTTCCAAGAACCAGGCGATCAAAGAAAAACAAAGCACAAAAGAACGAGTGAAGGAACCGAATGTGACACTATCGTAAGATGGGAGCAAAAATAGAGAAACAAAACAAGAAGTACACGGAAAGGGACCAGACGAGAAATTACCAGTCCTTGCCAGTTTTTAACAAAGCGGACGCAGCTTTTGGTGGCAAAGTATCGCACGCCCTCGCTGCTTTGCGCCTTTTGGCGGACAGGGTCGCAGCTGCGGTCAGCGACAATTGGTAGCACCCGTGCCAAAGTTAAAGTCGCAGCACAGGAGTGTGACAGACCAACCTGCCAGGGCAGGGCAAGGACAATCCCGCCTCGCTGACAGAGTTGACTTGCAACGCTCTGCTGTCTGCTGCTTCAGCCCTACGGATGTGTGGGACCTGTGAAAGTTGGGCGCCCTTTTGGGTTTACGGTGCGCGCGGGCATCGCCTGGAAAAGGGGGCTTTAGCAAAAGATCCAGAATTCTGACAATGGGGGCGCCGGCTTGGTTGGGTTTGAACAAATACAAAAAGCAAACCAAACATGTCGAGAAGATTCGCATTCCCAAACACATTCACACGGTCACGGCCACGACTCAACTTGGGAAACATCAGGCCGCTAAGGCGTTCAATCCATGTCTTTCGACTCGCGATCCAACCCGGCCCTGGACGTTGAATGGCCTGGTTTGGGGCAGAACCAATTGTTTTCCCAGCTTTCCCTGGCTTGGCAGAACCTGACTACTTCGGCCAAGCCGCCGGCGCAATGGCTGCAGTCGAGGCCGAAGGCTTTCTTGCCGAAGGGGCAGAAAGTGCTATGGGCGGTCTCTGCCAGGCCCAGTGCCAGCAAAGAGGCGGCGATGTGAAGGGAGCATCCATGGAGAGAGTCGCAGGCCAGGGAAGCGGAAGCCCCAGCTCCAGCCCACCACCTGGGCAAGAGGAACAGCTGGCTGAAAGGCACTGTAAACCCATGGCCTTCACAACCTCGGTTCTGGGACGCAAGAACTGCCTGATATGGAAACGCACCATGTAACCCATGGCCTACGTGGATTTGCCAGCTCCAGGGAACACGCGTTGCAACTGGTGGCAAGAGCCAAAGGATTACATATCGCCAGCCCAAGATTAACATCCCCCTGACATTGCAGCCACTTTCCCTGTCTCATCAACGTGGATCAGGGTAGAAACGGTAGTTCGCAGTATCTTTTCCTTGATGCTTGCAGAGTAGTAAGCTCGCGGCCCTTTGGGACAATTAGGGCCAGCGGTATGCGCCACGCATGCGAAACACCAGCCCCTCAACAACCCTACTGACAGGAAGTTCGTGCATAAGGCCCGCGTTACTGTCATGTTGACCAAATTGGCAGAGCGCACAGCCAAAGTACATTTGACCCTGCGCCGTAAGATTTGCCGCGGTGTGAGGCAGTGATACCTGGTGCCAGCGCCTAAGCCCTGCCTTGGTAGATGAGATTCCGCAGCGTCTGCACGCTGAGCAAGCAAGCTCAAGTGGCCTCGCGCCATTGTGTTCCGACAGCCCTTGCAGCCATCGCCTTGCATCAGCTAGCCAACACGGCACTGACCGGCGTTGGAATCCTGGTGACGGGTCACAGTGGCAGCCCTGCTCTAGCGCGTTGAAGATCAGAGTATGGCGCTGTTCCCCCTGGCCAGGAAGCCCCGTGTAGGCGGTCCACGTATTGGAAACTACCCGAAGTGGACCCACCCGGACTAATGACATCAAAGCACAGAGTCGCTTCAAGCAAGGTAGCCGCAAGCTTGCTCGTGTGGCTCTTGACGTGTCAGGTTCGGGTGGTTGCCCAAGAAGTGGAGTTCATCCTTGCCGGGTCTTCTCACGCTGTGGTCTTTCACATCGGGTTGCTCCAAGTATGAATTCTCTGGTCTCTGATGACGTAGTCGCCTTCATTCTTTCAGTAGTCCGTGTTGCCGTCTCGGCCTGAAGCATGCAGCAGCACCCTCCAACAGCAACCTGCAACAGTACCCTGCCGGCAGCAGCTGCTGCAGCCTGCAGCAGCACCCTGCAACAGCACCCTGTAACAGCACCTGGCCCGGAATCCTGAGTCTCACCCACCCCTTCTTTGCTTGAAGTTGGAACCCCTTTCGCCTTCAGCTCTATGGGGAAGCAGGCATTGCGCAGCCTTACGAACACACTCGACTTGTTCATGCAAAGCTGTGACAGGCGCAAAGCTCACACCAACCTGGCAAACGAGTGTTGACTTCAGCAAACCGACATAAAGACAGAGGTAGCAGTAGCACAAGAAGCCTGAGAAGCACATCCCGTCGACAGAAGCAAGTCACGGGCGTCGCACACAAAAGCCACGCCAAACAGTTCATCCGGAATCAAAAAAGCCGGGCCGAACTGATGGAGAACCCCAACGAAACCGACTGGGCGAGCCGCCAGTTAGTTGTGGAGCCAGCAGAGAAGCTGGCGCTCAAGGAGATCCAGCCCGAGAAGTCGCGGCCAGAGAGAAGAGCTTCCAAGGGCTCCTTCACGCCAGCGCTGAAGCCGAGCCCAAAGGCGGTGTTGGAGGAAAGTGACCTGGCAGGGCTTTTCCCCAGTTGTTCGGAACTTTCACTGATGCCCACTCGAGGGTTGGCAAGCCGACAAAAGCTCTCATTTGCTTTGAACAGGGTCTAGCTCAAAGCAGAAGCCCTCTTGAAGACCCCTCGGTGTCTTTTAGAGCTCTCTTTGCAATATTGTGCTTGAATTGTTATACCTGGGACACCCACTTTCATCATGACACCTGGTGTAGCCCGTGTTGACCAAGCGGCTTGTGGAGCCAAAACACTCCAGAAGTGCCACCACAACCTCCACGACCTGCGCAGCCATGAGAAGGTTCTCTAAGGGTCCAGGTCTCGTAGGGGTGTGTGGAACATGCAAGACGCTGCAACTTCCGAAGGTGGGCTGAGGGAGTGAAACCTGGCGACAGCAAACGCGCTGTAGTCAGCTCCCCAGTCCCACACGAACACTCCAGCCAAATTGCTAAAACAACCTCCCTTCAAGGCCAACACAGAAACACGCTTGGCCTGTGTTCTCATCTTTTGGGGCACCCCTGTGCCTAACGAGGCACTTCTAGCAAATAGGAGAGGGGAGCTTGCCACCTTCCACCTATGGTGCTCAGCAAGTGGGCGCGCAGGCCTTCAAACCAAGGAGGCAACTTGAAACCAAGCAGACGCAAAGCCTGTCGCCCTCAAAATTTGCGCTTCAGTTTCAGGGAACAAAAAGTCTGGGACCTTTAGGTGGCAGGCTACCCCAGAAAAGGCAACAATCTCCAGCGAACAATTGCGCAAAACGACGACCGGGCGTGCCGCTACAACGACGTCCACCACCGCTTCCACAACCTTCTTCCACCATCTCCTTCTTCTTCTTCTGCTCCTGCGGCGCCTTCGCCTGCTGCGACGCCGTCTTCTCCGTCGTCGCCGGCCCCATCCTCCGCACCCCGCGTCACAGGCAGTTCGCAGTGTTTATAGAAACATGTTTGCCATACTCAAAGCGACCGCAACCCCTCTCTCCGCGCCCAACATAGAGGGCAGTAACCCTCTGCCCAACATTCCAGCATTATTGAGGAGGAAGGCTGGCTGCCGGTAAGCCTGCTTTCCAAAGCTGGCGTCAGGCTCCCCCGCTTTTTTTGGCAGCAGCTGGCCCTCTTGCGGCAGCAACTTGCATTGTGAAACTTTACATCTTTGGGGAAACAAACGTGCGGAAAGGTAGAGTTCAGCTTGTGACTCTAGCATCCCTGCGGCAAAGAAGGGCCCAGCCAAAAGGGTTTCCTAAGGCAAGCGCGCGAACGCACTCTCGCGGCCTTCGCCTTCGTCCATGCTCTCGACTAGCTGATGGCCTTCGTAGAGCAGGGCAGTGGAACGAGCGTGCGGCTCGGGAGCTGCTTGCCTTGGCGCGGCGGAAAACGCGTGGCGACAGACAAAGCCCTAGAACCCAAGTTGCTCTTGATCGGTCCCACAGGTGGGGCTGTGTGGCTGGGGGTACGGTCGTACCACGCTCTAGCTGTTACGCAGGCTTTCCACCCGCAACTGTTTCAGCACGATCCTCAATTCAGCTCAGTGTGCTCAGTCTGCTCCACCTCGTCCTCATCTTGCTCGTCGTCCGTGTCAGTCTGGTCCTCGTCCATGTCGCGCATCTCCTCCTCCTCTTCCATGCTCAACTTGGTCGCATTCTTCTGCAACACTTTCGACAGCTCGATCCGATCCACCAACCGCACGGCTCTGTCTTCCGGCAAGGATCGCAAGGTGGTCTTCGCAAACTGCAAGAGGGCCTTCCTCGGATATTTTCTTTTCGCACGGGACCTTAAATGGATAGCACATCTTCCAATATTTGTTCAAACGGACCATGGTTGGCACCCTCCCGCTCTTCTCAAAGGATCTGTCTCCCACAAGGCTACATACATAAAATACACTACATACATTACATACAATACCATACACAACATGAGAATACATGCATTGCATACATACATTCACAAAAAAAATACATTACATCACATTACGTTACATTACGCAATGCATTACATTACATTCAAAATACATTACATTCATACATACATTACATACATTACATTACATTACATACATACATTACATTACATTACATTACATTACATTACATTACATTACATTACATTACATACATACATTACATTACATTACATACATACATACATTACATACATTACATACATACATACATACATTACATACATACATACATACATTACATTACATTACATACATACATACATACATTACATACATACGTACATACATACATACATACACATACATTATATACATACATACATACAAACATACATACATATATTACATACATACATACATACATACATACATACATACATACATACATACATACATACATACATACATACATACATACATACATACATACATACATACATACATACATACATACATACATACATACATACATACATACATACATACATACATACATACATACATACATACATACATACATTACATTACATACATACATTACATTACATCATTACATACATACATACATACATTACATACATACATACATACATACATACATACATACATACATACATACATACATACATACATACATACATACATACATACATACATACATACATACATACATACATACATACATACATACATACATACATACATACATACATACATACATACATACATACATTACATTACATTACATTACATACATACATACATACATACATACATACATACATACATACATACATACATACATACATACATACATACATACATACATACATACATACATACATACATACATACATACATACATACATACATACATACATACATACATACATACATTACATACATACATACATACATACAAACATACATACATTACATACATACATACATACATACATACATACATACATACATACATACATACATACATACATACATACATACATACATACATACATACATACATACATCATACATACATACATACATACATACATAC